CTTGAGTTGTACGAGTAAATCACATATACCTAAGGTAATTTCTAACATCTTTCACTGACTTTAAAGTAGAAGAACGTTGCCAATTCATAAGTGTAGCGTTAATGCGCCTGTGTGCTTAAGTACTTACCTACTCATTTTGTGTGTATCGTTGCGCCGCATTCATAAAAAATATTTTTTGTTTATTTTAATATAAAGTGTAATGATTCAAAACATAGTAATCTATAAAAACATCCCTACTTATTGTTTAAATCAGAACGATAACATTAAGAACTTTCATAGTCAGAGCATGACATGAGTATGAGCAGTGTCATAACAACTTCAGTCTTAATAAACATTATTACGATACATTTGTTGAGGTAAAACAAATTAGAATTATTCAAAAACATACTTTACTTAAAAACCAATAGCGTTATCTACCTCTCTATAAGAATAAAACAAGTAACGTATCCGCATTATATTCAATAAGGGTATAATATGAACAAACTTATTTTAAAAGACTTAAAGTTAGGTAATATATTTGAAAGCCCTTTTAAAAAATTTTTTTATTACATGATACCGATCCACTACTTAAGCGTATAATTTAATCAAAACGTTGACAGTGCAATGTATAATTTATTACTCACTATGTATTCTACAGTTTATTCTGTTTTTTATTTAAATATAAGGTAAATCCAATAACCAATCAAAATTACAAACAATATAAATTAAACAGAAAGTACTTATAAACGAACCTCTCAGCGGATAACACAGACAGAAAAATCTCCGGGCTTAAATGGCACTGCCGTCAGGGCGACAAAAACACTAGTAATAATCTAATGAGAAAGGGTAATTTTGTCATGAATATGGTAAAAAAAATGACTGAAATATAACTAAATTAAATATTAACAGAGATTTTAAATATATATTTTAAGTCAGCTTTTAGAGTTTCCTACAAAATCCTAAATCATCCTCCGAGCTTTTTTTTCCCATACTGGGAAAAAAAGCTTGAAGTCATTTTTTACGTGAAGCAACTTCCATCAGACCTCCGCTACCCAAGTACTAGGCGATATTGAAGTTCTGTAGATAGACTGTTATCGGATTGTTTACGCTCCAACTACCCATAATGATTGCCACAGATCTTCGTATGGCAATGGAGACCGACGGCTTAACGTGTTCTCCGAGGCACAGAAACCCCTCAGTGCGTTAAGAAGTGTCAACCATCCATAGACTAACCTGGCAACGATTGCTTGACTTTGGAATATGCTAACCTACTCGGTTATCACTTAGCCACGAGCGCTTCTAGCCTAGGTTCCTACATAGACAATAAATAGACTTTTTATAGGATAACAATAAAACAAGACACCACATCATTTAAGCTCTGAAAAAACAAGCATAACCATATCTAACTAATAACTATAACATAAGCACCTAATGTAAAAAGAAAAAACACTTAAATAACGGCTTAATCGCAACTGACGTGTACACATTCGATACAAACACCTTCGGTACAGATAAAAGTGTTACCAACATATAAATAAATATATTCATTAGACTACACCCACACCATATCGATGTACTAAATCCTCCTTGTCGGCCTCTGTCTAAGGAGGCTGTACGAAAAACGTAAAAAGAAAAAGTGATTATCACACTGTAGGTACCTTGAATGAGTGTTCGTAACTTGGGTAGAAACCAGTGGACATTATATTTAAATTTGTTGGTTTAAGTATTAGGTGTTTAAGTCAGGGAACGTTTTTTTTTACTTTTATGATAGAAGGGGCAGACGAGCAGACAGGTCACCGGAAAGTGACTGCAACTCAGGAGGCACAAACGCGTTGCCGGCCTTTTAGGGAGGAGTATGCTCTTTTCTTGAAAGTTTGAAGGTCGTATCGATCTGGAAATACCGCTCACGATAATCCGTCCATACAGATTAGTTGTGCGGGGCAAAAAGTGTTTCGAAAAGCGCACAGTAGTGGAGCGCCAACTCTCCAGGTGATGAGGATGAAAATTTTGCCGTGTGGCACGATGGCGGAAAGTTGCGGCTGGTATTAGTCCGAACAATCCCTCGGAGCACTCTCCATGATATATACGATAGAGAATACGGAATAAAGCCACATCTCTACGTAACGCCAAGGGATCGAGCCGATTGGAAATGTTTGAACTATCCACGATACGAGTCGCTCTTCGTTGAATGTGGTCCAGAGGGAGAAGTTGGTACTGAGGTGCATAGAGATGAGAACAGTATTCCATATAAGGCCGCACTTGCGTCTTTTAGAGCTGAAGACGGTGGGCCGGCGTGAAATGCTGCCTCGATCTCTTCAGCACACCGAGCTTTTTCGAGGCCAATTTGACCTTACCCTCTAAGTGACGTCGAAACTGGACTTCCAATTTTGACGACTCGGCGACTGTGTGCCTAGGGTTCCGATACTGTCTGAGGCAGTTAAAGAGGTGCTCTCAAACCGAGGTGATACGACAAATGGTACCTTCTTTGCGGTGAACGCACAGACCTGTGCCTTTTTTGTTTTGAACTGGACTAGGTTACATGTTGTTAGCAATTAGGTACGTTAACAAGTTACATCTAACTAATTCAAGAGCAAGTTATACCTTCAATGGTTAACTCTTAGATGCTTAGGACTTATGTTTTTGATAAAAGAATTAAATAAAATATAATGAATTGACGTAATAACGAAAGAAATTGGTAATGACGCAATAATCCGGCGGTCGATGTGGTTGGGAATCGTACTGTTGTTGTACCTATCTCGAACGTTTCGGTGAATGAACTCAACAAATGTATACAGATACCTGCTACGTAGGGACAGATTTTTTGCCCGAGAAATTGTGTATTCTTTTAATAAATTTTACTTTTAGAGAAAGTGTTTTCGATTTATTATGATGATCGAAAAAATGACATATACTTATATATAATATACTTGTATTAATATATGGATAAGGTTTTTTGACTTTAATAATAAACATTAAAAATATAAGAATTAGAAATAATCATTTTTTATGAAATAGAAATAAGAGTATGATAGAAACTGATGTTATACCTACCTACTTTGTTTGCATTGCATTCATCCCAGTCATCTGACAAATTAAGCCTATGAAATGAAATTTCAATATATTTGATTGTTATATTTTATTTAAATGGACAGAAATATTTTCAAAATACCCATAAACTCAATCGTCTATTTTGCAGAAACTACGGGATGTTATAAAAAGTACTCATAGAGTAATAGTGATTTATTCGTAGAATATTGCAGTTTGCTGTGAGAAAGCATTTTGAATTTATAATTGTTCAATGAGTACCTACTTTACTCTTCGATGTAGGTACAATATATTTTTATCTGACCAAAAGGTGTTGTTGATAGAGCTCTGAATGTGTTGAATTGATATGTTTTCTGTCCAAAAAATGTTGATATGCCTATGCCTAGTAGGTAGGTAGGTAGTGATATAAATTTGGTAAAACTAAGTAAATAGATATTCTTTTGAAAATCCTGAGGCTGTGAAATTTTTTGTTTTACTTAGGTAACTGATATTTGGAACTGTTTTCTTTTAATTATCTTTTTAGCACTTAGTCCACTTAGGAAGCATTTACTTCACTGTAATAAAAAATATAAGAAATCTGAACCATCGCCATTGTTAAAGTTAACATTTTAACATTTGAAACACAATAAACATAAAAACTTAAGAAATTAAACATAAGTAAGTATTTATGTGGATATCTACAGTAAAATCAAAATATCGGACCAGATTGATGCAAGCATTTTTTTATAAAGGAAAAACCAATTATAAGTGTAAAAAAGTGTAAAGTGTAAAAAAGGATTTAAATTTCTGCAAAACGGTGGCATTATAGCGTCAGTTGCGTTGCGGCACTCCACCATCAGTACTATTCCCTATAATTATAAAATAAAAAGTATCGCAGTGATACAATCCCTAGGCTGTAATCTAGTGAACTATAAAAGCTGAAGGTATTACTTTGTAATAAAATATTCAAAACAGATTGCAAAGCAATATGACATTCTTACTCGTAATTTGCATGAACAATATAACTAGGTAAATTCAATGCCCTGCTAGTGATCCACTCGAAGCATGTTCTTACATTTTATCTATGAATAAATTTGATCTAAGTATAAGTGCTTACATATAAGGTTTCCCCGACTATAGAGTTTAGAATATTGTACCCACACTTCAACTTAATTAGAATGGAACTTATTCCATCCAGTAACTGTTAAAACGGATGCTAAGCATAGTCAACTAGCACCGAATTGAATTAAAAACCTAATCGTCACACTATTGCCGTCTCTACTAGTCCAATATAAACCGCGTAAGAAAGAACGGGAGAGGTGTACATTAACACCTTCTATACGAAGAAATGTTTAAAGATCACCTGTGCTCACTACCGTAATTCTACCGAGCGGTAGAGCACCTGTCCCTTTCATACGGTTCATGCTTAAGCTGAACCGCACGAGTGCGAGTAGGTATAGTTTCATTTGTGCGTCAGTTAAAAAGGTCGTATACGCAGCAATGGCGATAAAATGATGTGGTCACTATAGTTGTGTTTATAAGAGGCATATTGTTTTAATATCAGTAGGTCCTAGTTTTAAAACCTAAGAACGGGACGGAAGGTTGCGTTGCAATTGAGCGTTGTTGTAATTTTAACGCGTTCGGAAATCGAATTAAGAAGGTTAGAGTGAGAGGTGTACGGAGGTTCGAGTCGGTAGAGGTAGTTTTTGTTATTGTTTGGCGGCGGAGATTTTTTCTGAGGCGTGCAAATGGGAGTAGGCGCGCGAGTGGGCGCGCCGGTTCGACAAGCGCGCTCTTCAGTGTTCTGGCTGAGCTTCAAGCGAACGCGTGCGAGACGAATGCCGCCCGTGGCATAGGTGCTTCAGACCTGTTATCAAACACATAACTGATAGACCAGACGAACTGTTGATAGTAACGGTGGACATTTTGTTGTGAACTTTTGGTTGGTGCCGCATGCTATCGTTGCAGAGAGCTCGTGACTGGAAGGTGGCTCGACCATGTTGATATCGGCGGGCAGTGGCCCCACGCCCGAATTTTCCCCTGTCTCCTGCTGCGCCCCTTGGAAGATGGAGCCAGCGCCCCCTGCACCCGCTGCCATCACTCAACCCCTTAACATATCGCCAAACGGTAAGATATTTGACTAGATTCATAACGTGATGATTATGCGAGCCTTCAAGGGAATATAATTGTTCAATAACTCCTAAATGCCATCCGCTGTCCTACACCATAGTCTGATTCGTCACAAAAAAAAGAGGAATTTATTTATGAAATGAGTTTATTTTTGAAAAGAGGTAAATGATGATTTATTTCTCTTACAACTAAAATTTAGAGAAAAGAAACCATCGTCAGTTTATTCATTTCAAATATACATACTAAGTATTCAGAGAATAAGAATGTTTTTATACAAATTAATTGATATTTTTTTTGTTCTTAGCTTTGTTGCCAAATTACCTAAATCTTGTCATTTAATCAAATCAATTATAATTATAATGTACTCTTACTTATATCCTTTAATCTTTTGACTTATCTACATATTATGTTATATTTTTCGTTTCCCTTCGTTGGTAGTCAGCCTCATTTGAGAACAGCTGTAACAATTTGACTAATTCTTTCTTAGTAGTCCAAAATAAATTAGTAGAGACAGTAAAGATGAATAAATTTAAAAGACGAAAATGGGAAACTTAGGGAAAATTGTAAATAGTTTTTTTTCTATCAAATTTAAACAAATTGATAGAAATTGTGACAAGACTAGTTGCTGACGAGTTGCTAGTAATAAATAATATAAATTAGATAACATTACTGAAGTACATATAAAACATTAAAATAGAATTCACTTATAAAATAATTCCATAAAAGCTTAACGCTTGGGTAATCATATACAAATTGTTTAATAATTAAGTGCTAGTGTTAATAAGCACTCTGAAATAACTTTTTTAAGGTTAGTGTGTGCATGTTTTTTGCATTAGTGTAACTTACTCTAGAGAGATGATTAAATAATGTTAGAAAAGAAGAAAGCCGTATTTTTATATCAATATCACTGTAAAGAAGTAATAGTCAAAAGTAGTGGATGATGGCCTTTTCTTTCACTCTTTTCTTCTATTCTAGTTTTTATTCTCCGCTTTGTCAACGTGCAAAACCTTAATATACGCAGTATTTACATATTCTATATATAATTATTAAAATAATAGGTAAATACGTACACACTCTGATAATATATGGAACTAGATTTTCATATTATGTTCGTTTGTATGTCTTAAAAGTATGTAAAGCTGAATTTGATCGTGTTATGTAAAAAATATCAATATCCCATCTGTAAATAAAATATACAAACTACTTACCTACCTTTCTTCGTATTGTGCGTAATTTTATTAAATTAGTCCATCAGAAATGAAATAAATCAGGACAATAAGACTTCAAAGTTATAATAGTACCGTTATTATTACTGCCTTTACTATACCACATAGAAAAGGACCACATAGAAAACCGAGGCCGGTTACTCATCTTGAAGCACCTAAAACTAAGAGTTAATTCAAGTTTCCACAGTTCTCTGTTCATGCAGATTTTTCTTGATAAATATATCATAAACTGATTGCCGTCGCTACGTGCGCAAGTATCAGGTGTGGACCTATGCCTTTCGTCACTTTTGTGATTACTTGTGCTATGTGAACAGACTATGCTCCTGGCACAGTGTGATTGGCAATCCACCATATTTTATTCGACAGCATGTCTTGTCTGATGCCAAGAGCCCACTTGACATTCGCATTTAAAATAATCTGGCAAACGAACTACAAATTTGCGCCATTCCTAGTTCAAATAGACTTTTTCGTCCTTTCTGGCATCGTGTAATCAAAAATAAAATTGCAAAAATAGTAAATAACTGAAAATAATAACTGAAAGTCAGTGTATACAAGGTACTAACGGCGACAGAATTTTTTATTATTACAAAATAGCTGACTGCTGGAAGGACGGCTGAATTGGTGTTGCCACAGTGTGGTCAAAACAGTAGGTCAAATTTTGTTTTTAACAAAAATAATTACTATATTACAGATATATATTTGTCTATATAAAAAATATGATTTTAAATAACTACTTGTTATGCATGACACTGCGCTAAGTACCTGTTACTGAGTTCTGCATTAGCTATAGTACATTCTGACAGAAAAAAATATTAATTGAAAGATGAGGAGGAAACAAGATATTAAAATAATTATTAAGAGCGGTGGAGTGCCCCTGTTATCTTTTAAAAAAAATAAAGTTAAAAAAAACACCTTTCTATAAGTTCAAAAAAATATTTTATCTTAAAAAACGCGGGGTGCTTTGAGAAATTTTATAATATAATAACTTAACTTTTACCAATATCAGTCGAAAAATAGTTTTACAACAATTGAGATCAAGCAGACCTCGCGCGATAAAGGCAAGTTACAAAAGCGTGTTTTTATGTTTTCTTAAACCATAATTTATGTTTGCTATTTGCTTTGATAAGTGTGCGATAGTTCAATTGAAATCGCCTTTTTGAAGTGGGTCAAAATCACATTCGAAGATTCCGATACATACATATGTGTATACACACGTAGGTACATACGTACAAACATACCAAGCTAATAAAATCGTGTTAAAAAGGATCAACCCTGCTTACCTATGAATTTCTGTGAAATTTTAAATTGTCCATGAATTAAAAGAGGAGGTGCGTCATAAACCGCTATCGTTATCGATTGACTTGTATATTTTTTGATTGGCCCGACTGGTTTCAATTATTTGTACTCTTTGTTACCACTTAATAATAATGCAGACATTACTTATTTCTTTGACATATAGGTAATATATTTCGAAAAAAGACACAAACTTTCGATGCATATTTAAATAGCAATAAAATTTTATTAACTTCGAATGTAACAAAATAATTAAGCCCAAACATTTCATAGATTACACTATCCTAGAAAGCTTCGAGAAGCTTTCTAGGACATTTGATCTTTAATTTTTTTTTGTTAAAAGTTGAACCGTAATAGTATCTCTAACTTTACTTAATTTTTTTATTTTGTCTGGGTACTCGATTTATAATCCTATAACCTATCCAAAAGATCTGAGGCGCAGAAAATTAATTACTAATATAATTCGTTACATTAATTAATCGTGAAAGCCTATAACACGTTTACACTCTTTGATATAGATACTATCATGTAAGACTATTTTGAAGTATTTCAGCTGTTTTTTTAAGTATGTATATACCTAACTACTAAATTTACTCCCTTACACCATGAAAGCCTACTACACTAATGATTTGTACCATGTCTATTACAAACAGAACACGACAATATAATTTAATGTGATCAGTTATGCGCATAATTTTTTCAATTATAAAGCAAGACTAAATATCAATGTTGTAACTACATATTAATTTGCAAATAAAATCTATTGTCATCATCATGTCATCATGTCATCATGTGAAACTTAAAATACCTACTTAAATTTGTTGTAGGTATAGAAAAAGCGGAGAAAGCTAAAATATTAAACAATACGTGTACCTAATAAAGTTAAAAGTTATGTGTAGACGACTACATTAAGCCACAAGCGTCCATTATATATAATGTCCTGTCATGGTACGTAAATCCATACAATGAGAGTTCAAGTTATAAAAATAAAATGAATTATGTTTGAAATTCGACCACCAGCCGCTCTCTGGTATCTAATTTAGTAGTGTAGGTTTAGTAGCTTGTGTGCCACATACCTGTACAAAAACAATGTCATATTCATCTCAACAATAAGAAAAACAAATAATGTTTTTAGTTTACATTGGTCAGCTTGGTGATATAAAAGGACGGGCCTTTATATGCAGTATACCTTGTATTTTAAAATTAACTGCATGGAAAATTATAATAAGGAAAGTGGATCTGTAATGCTGGGTTGTCTATTAAACTCAATTTCTGATGTTTCGTATCACCGTTTTCTCCAAAAAGAAAAACTCAATTTTTGAGGTTTTTGGTAATATTGTGGCACTTTAAGAGCAAACTGTATTCATTTAAATTAGTCGAGTCACTATTGTGTCAATGCTCAACACCTGACTCTAACTGTGAACAGTCTGCTCATCATATCGTCTGGGAATGTAATCCTCTGTATAATGAAGTTAATATAATGCTGAATAGATTACAGGTGACATCTGGGGTGGTATATTATAGGGATCTTGTGTCAACTAGGGTGAATTTCTGTGCGTTTAGGCGATTCTGCCATACATATTATAGAAATCAAATAGGACCTTAGAACCCATAATATTTTGTGGCCGTGGTGTAACCCTCTCTACCCTGTTTAAAAGGGTGTATGCCTATTTCACTCCATTTTGCTTCCTGCTTTGCTAAGGAGAGTAGTGGCTTTGTGATACTTCCAACTCCTCCAATTTTCTTCTGTTTAATTTCGTTGCGGGTTCCAAGACAGTTTATTTTTTCCTGGGACTTTCCGAGTGTTATAACTCGGTGTGTTTGTGTGCTGTTGATCCTGGTGTACAGGAGTTACAGTTGTGGATGTGTGGGAGGAATTAACCAAATTAAAGAAATTTATTTCTGATTTAAATTTAAACTCAAAGGAATGAGGAAGAAGAGGTGAAGTAGGAACTGACGCCTCGAAATTGTTTTTGTTTTTTTTTCTTGAAATAATATTTGGCCATCCTAATCACTTCATCTTTTATTACGTCACTAATATTAACACCTTACTCTGTTATAAAATAAGGATAAGAATCCACTGTGAGTATTTTAATTACATTTATCTGATCTCTCTAAGCATTTTAAGTAGTGTGCATTTTTTATGATCTCACAGATTAAATGATATAACGGCGTGTGATGTATAAAAGTATCTACACACGTAGTTTTTTGGTATAATATCGCTATATCACTAGCGAAATTTGCTAGTTAAACATATGATAATTTACAATTAATGAGCCTAATAATAAAAATCTACGATAGTACATTCTTTGATTGCATTTTGCATATTGCACACACGTACTAAGTAGGTACTCACCTATGATTATACCTACTTAATACGTGTGTGTACGGCTGTGAACGTCCCAGGAGGCTTCTGAGCTTCTGGAAGGAGCTTGGTTGGCTCCCTATCCAAACTAACTGTTTTAACGATTTCACTGT